GTATAGTTGAAATCGTATTTTTTGGTTGAAATTATTTTTTGTTTGAAAAAAAAAACGTTTGATTCTTGATTGAATAATAAAAATCAAAATTACCTCTTTATCAGGAAAGTCCAGCTCATCATCAGCCAGTTCTGAGCAGACAACAGGTTTTTCTATCAGCTGCAACATATCTGAAATGAAGAACGCATCCTAAAACAGATTATAAATGTTTTATTCAACACCCTGACATGCTTTACATTTTAACAGCATGTAAAACAGCCTCTGTTCTCTCAGGAACAGACAGTTGCATGTTTGACATTTTCCACCTGGGAACATCCAGTTCAGTTTTATAAACAGCTCCATCCTCCCTGCTCTGTGGAGGTGCAGACTGTCTCAGCCAAGAACTAAAGTTCACCTGGTTAAAAAAAACCTTCCATCTCAGATATCCAGAACCCAACTCCAACAGCTGCACGTAATTCACCTCTTGATCCTCCCCATTTGTTCACAAAGTCTGGAGAGGTACTGCGTGAGCTTCACCATCACAACAATGAGTGCCCCTCCCGCCAGCGTGCACGAGGGCCAGAGCAGCGAGTGCAGCACCACGCTGTGGTCGTAGATCCGGGTCAGGAGGACCATCTCCCGGTGCTCGTTAGGGTCGTAGAAGCAGGGAACCTGCTGGTCCACCTTTAGACGCTCAGAAATGTTCATGACCGCAGAGTGCATGGCGGCGCTGTCCTTTTGGCACCGAGGAGCATAGACACACTGACAAACAGAGGCGGGAAGGTTACGCAGGGCAATCACTGTTTGTTGTTTGTGATTGTTGCCGGGTTTCAGGCCGACATCCAGCTGCTGCTGTCAGAAACGCCTCAGTGATTTTCAGCACAGAACTCACCTCGGAGCTGGCGTCCTGCGTCTCTTCGTTGTAATGCAAACGGCTGTGGCGGCCTGTGTTGTTGAGGCTGACGTAGACCTGCAGGCAGGGGTATCTGGACCCTCTCCAGCAGTCTGACCCACAGCTGTAGGAACAGTTCACGTCTCCTGTGAGCGTGGCGTTGAGAACGACACACAGCCCCTCCTCTGTCCACACGCTGTGTCCGCAAGAAAAGAAGGTCCACTTTCATAAAATGGATTTTTTTTTTACCCTGCTCACAGTAAAATCTACAAGAAATGATGCCGAATACAGCGGGTAAAATAAGTATTGAACACGTCAACATTTTTCTCAGTAAACATATTACTAGAGGTGCTAATGACATGAAATTTTCACCAGATGTCGGTAACAACCCAAGTGATCCATACATACAAAG